GTATGGGGAGGGGCCTCTAAGGCTGAAAATGGCCGTCTCCCTCTGGATCTTTGAGAGGGTCTGTATAGACCCTCAGTGCTCTGTTGCAGTTGAGAATAAGAATACTTTATTGTCATTGTACGTATGTACACAGTATACCCATACAACAAAATTCGCATAACACCCAGAGACCAGGCCCAACACATATGACAATCCCCCCCCCCACACACACACCAAAAATTGCAACCCTCACTTGAGCTGAGGGTTGCAAAAACAAGTCCTCTTTTCTCCTGATGTTGCCACCCATGTCCTTTCCTATTGTTGGTTTAGGGGGAGAATGTGCCAGGAGATCTACAATTTAATATGTGGAAATAATGATTCCAGAATTCCTTTTCTGAGATAGAAACACAGAGGCTGATCCCTGTTTTTAATTCCTGTCCCCCCCCCCCAAACACAGAGAAGTAGAGATTCCATTTTTGTTTCAAAGATATGGTTTGTTTAAGAGATCCAATTAACCATCAGTTCCCAACCTTTTGGGCTTCAGGCACCGGTTCCATGGATAGAGGGCTTTTCGTGGACTGAAGGGGGCATGGCTTCGTGTGCTGCCTGCATCCCACGGATGGGGCTTTGCTTGTTTGCGTGGCCCAGTTTCTGGCATGCTACGGACCAGTGCCGGTTCACGGACTGGAGATTGGGGACCCTTGCCATAAACCTTGTCTCAATGTGATTAAAGATGTAGATTTGTCACTGATGAATCCTACCTTTGGCCCAGTGGTGGGTTTCAAATTTTTTTCGAACCTACTCTATGGGTGTGGTCTCCTTTGTGGGAGTGGCTTGCTGGCCATGTGACCTGGTGGGAGTGGCTTGCCACCATGTGTTTTCTCTCTCTCTCTCTCTTTCCTTCCTTTTGCCTCTCTGTCCCTTTTTCCTTTTTTTCTTTCATCTGTCTCTCACTTTTCCTTTCTTTTTTTCTTTTTTTCTTTCTTTCTCTTTCTCTCTCTGTGTGAGTCTGCGTGTGTGTGTGTGTGTGTGTATGTGTGTGAGTGAGTGGTAGGTTTCAAAATTTTTTGGAACCTCTTCTGTAGGTGTGGCCTGCTTTCCGGGTCCAATGGTAGAACCTCTTCTAATCGGTTCGGTAGATTTGACGAACCGGTTCTACCGAACTGGTGCGAACTGGTAGGAACCCACCTCTGCTTTGGCCAATCCTAAATATTAGCATGGATTATAAGTAATAGCTGTAGTTCTTTAGCCTGTGCTTATTGATGTAGCAAGACTTTGTATAGGATTGCTGTCACTTTTACTGTATTAGTGTGTAAAAGGCTTACACATTCCTCCTTCCTCAAAATAGATTGTCTTTTGCCTTTGGCTCGTGTGTTTGGATTATAGAAGTTGCTCTTAATACGAAGTCTCCTTTGATTGATGCATGGAGAGGCGGAAGAATTCAAATTGGTCACAGATGTGTTTGATAGACTTAAATTGATTGTATGTGCATCAGTGATTTGCTTCCCCTACAGGTGGAGGTCGAAATGCGATCACTCCCCGATACCTGCGACACTTCAACACAATTACCATTAATGAGTTTGATGATGTTTCGATGTATACAATTTTCTCCCGAATATTAGATTGGCATCTTACTATATGGTAGGTGACATTGTTATATTATGGTATATTAACCTACATAAAAAAAGATAATGATAACCTGCCATAATATCCTTCCTAAACATCATACCATCTAGAAGTGTTATGCTGTAGTATCTGCATTTCCTACCAGCAGTTCTCCAGAGATCCTCTGATAGCATCATAACATGCCAATATACTGTAGTAAATCTTCAAATTAACTATTAAAAGCTGCCCCCCTCCCCAACTGCTTCCCTGAAGCCTTCGGAGCACAAAAAGCCAGCCCTATGGGAAAACCGGAAGTTCAAGAACGGACTTCTGGTTTGCTTGTAGGGTTGTTTTTCGTCCTCCGGAGGCTCCAGGGAAACTTCCGGAAGGCCCCTGAATGCTCCGGAGGGCTTAAACCGGCCCTACAAGCAAACCGGAAGTCTGTTCCTGAACTTCCAGTTTGCCCATAGGGCCAGTTTTTTGCACACCGGAGGCTTCAGGGAAGCTCTTGAAGCCTCTGGAGGGCCTCTGGGGGGGGGGGAGAGGCTATTTTTGCCCTCCCCAGGCTCCTATAAAGCCTCTGGAGCCTGGGGAGGGTGAAAAAAGCATGCAAAAATGGGGGGGGGTCATGCCTGTCATGCACGCATGCATGCTGGGGTCGCACATTGCATTATGGGTGTGGCACGCCTGTGCACAACCCCCATGTAGTCTCTCCACTTTGGGCACGTGAGCCAAAAAAGATTCTCCATTGTTGGACTAGAGTATGAATTTCCCTGAGTAAACAAAGTGGAAGAATAATTAAAGATCAATATTTCAGGATTGGTCTCATAAAATGAATATGGTGTAGTGGCTGACTCTTGATCACTGCTTTTGAGTGATAATTTTTGGTCCTTGATTGTTCAAAGGCCAAGGGTTCTTAAATCAGTCTCATGAATTGTAAAATAATTTGACTTCTCTGTGAAATTCATTCATACCATCCGGAGAACATCTGCACAAGTCTAGAATGTACAAAAAGAATCTGATGAATGTAGGAAAATGTCCAAGTTTCTATTTTTCTGTTGTGTGAGTTGTCCTACTGCTTTCATCTTTTCAATCAACAGTTACAATTTCCCTTCGGAATATGTTCAACTGACTGCACAAATTGTTAATAGCACATTGACCGTATACAAAGACGCTATGGTGAACCTGCTCCCTACACCCACCAAATCACACTATTTGTTCAATTTGCGAGATTTCTCTCGGGTCATTCAAGGGGTTTGTCTCTCACGACCTGAAACAACCGCTTCTACAGGAACCATAAAACGCCTTTGGGTTCATGAGGTAAAATTTCTACTAGCAACTTAATTGAAGGCTGTCTTATATTTGTTTGCAAAATATTTTCTTATATGATAAGGTACTGAATCGTGGTAAACTTTAGTAGCATAAGCAATTAACTGCTGTGCCTTCCGTAGCTGTTTCTACTTAAAAGAATCCAACAACAGAAAGCATCATATGGTTAAAATTATATAAGTCTGTGACTAGCCATACCCACTGCGGTATCCATTTTGTGAATGAATAATATCATCTGCCCTTCTACTGTGGTGATCATGATGGTTGAGAGCAGTGGTGGGTTTCCAAAATTGTTCGAACCTACTCTGTGGGTGTGGCCTCCTTTGTGGGAGTGGCTTGCTGCCCATGTGACTGGATGGGAGTGGCTTGCCGCCCATATGACCGGATATGAAGATGCCGACGACACTTGTCAGAACCACCTTAAATTACCTCACACACAGCACTGGCATGCATAAGAATATGATGTAAACTTGTTTTTTAAAAGGCACCTTTGGTTTGCTATAAAACAACTTCAACACACGCAATGTTCTGATTGCACCACAAATGCAGTAGTTATCCTTACCTTTCACAGAGGCACTGAATTTTATACATATGAGCATGATAGTGTAGAATAATCATATCCAAGGACCAGTGGTGGGTTTCAAAAAAATTTGGAACCTCTTCTGTAGGTGTGGCCTGCTTTCCGGGTCCACTGGTGGAACCTCTTCTAACCGATTCGGTAGATTTGATGAACCGGTTCTACCGAATAGGTGCGAACTGGTAGGAACCCACCTCTGGTTGAGAGTAAGATACCCTTCCTCATTATGATGCTGGCTGAGGATGTTAGGAATTGCAGGCCCCTCTGGAGAGTATCATGTTGAGGAAAGCTGCTACAGGACTATACTGTGTTCATGCCAAAGTAAAGCCATTGATGACAGAAAATAGCTTTTCCACATGATATTTAGTTATTCTCTTTGATTATGTAGCTTCTCAAGTTTAATAATTTTTCCTGAGAGAATGTATGTTTCTGTGTCATAGAAATTGTAATTAATTAATTATAAAAAAAAATCACACTAACGTCTTTTATGCAGGTCCTTAGAGTATATTATGATCGCTTGGTAGATAAAGCAGATCAATCGTGGCTGGTTGAATGTATCCGTGAAGTAGTAGCCAAGCATTTGGAAGAAGATTTTAATGAACTTTTCCAAAATCTGGATTTCAATTATGACGGTAGGGTAGAAGAGGATGATTTGCGAAGCTTGATGTTCTGTGATTTTCATGATCCTAGAAGGGAGGATACAAATTATAGGGAAGTCTTGGATGTGGATGAACTGAGAGTTGTTGTCGAGGGCCATCTAGAAGAATATAATAATATGAGCAAAAAGCCAATGCAGCTGGTTTTATTTCGATTTGCTATAGAGCATGTTTGTAGAATTTCACGCATTTTGAAACAGCCCCGTAGCCATGCCCTTCTGGTTGGTGTTGGCGGAAGTGGCAGGCAGTCCCTAACCCGTTTAGCAGCATATATGTCTGACTACACGCCATTCCAGGTTGAAATCTCAAAGAGTTATGGGACCAATGAATGGCATGAGGACCTAAAAGCCATTCTAAGGAGATCTACTGAAGGTGAGATACAAGGCGTTTTCTTATTCACTGACACCCAAATAAAAAGGGAGTCCTTTCTAGAAGACATAAACAACTTGTTAAATGCTGGAGAAGTGCCAAACCTCTTTGCAGTTGACGAGAAACAAGAAATCTGTGAAAAGATGCGCTCCATTGATCGCCAGCGGGATAGATCCAAGCAGACTGACGGTAGCCCCATTGCTCTTTTCAACATGTTCATTGATCGTTGCCGGGATCAGCTCCATGTCGTCTTGGCTATGAGTCCCATTGGGGATGCCTTCCGAAATCGTCTCCGGAAGTTTCCAGCTCTTGTTAATTGTTGCACTATTGATTGGTTTCAGGTAAGATTCTGAAGTACAACTGTGAAAAATGCATGAAAACATTGAAGGCAATCCAATTTTACTCAGTTTTATGTAGTTGAGCAGAATCACCTTACTCCTTCCTTGCTGGTGGGGAAATGAGCTGGGAAAACTTGCAATGGGAACAAACAATGATTAGAGTTCCAAATTAGAGGTAAATTGAAACAATGGTTTAAAGCTGGCTTCTATATTCTGCTGTATTTGGAAGCTATTTAAGTATATATCTACCATGTATATAACTTTAAGCTGTGGTTAAGTATGGATTCCTTCTGCCTTGTTTAATCAATTGTAAATATTGGTGTGATAGAACAAATGAAAACACAGGTAGTCCAATTTAGTGACCATTCGAAGTTACAATGGTACTGAAGAAAATGACTTATGACCATTTTTCACACTTAATGGTCACACTTATGGCCACTGCAGCATCCCCATGGTCACTTGAACAAAATTCAGATGCTTGGTAACTGACTCGTATGTATGACGATTGCAGTCATACGATTATGTATGGTAACCTTCTGAGCAGCAAAGACAATGGGGAAACCAGATTCACTTAAAAACTGTATTACTAACTTTACAGCTGCAGTGATTCACTTAACAATTGTGACAAGACAATTGTGGGACAAAACTCACTTAACAAATGTTTCACTTAGCAACAGTAATTTTGGGCTGAATTGTGGTCATAAGTCGAAGACTATCTGTACCAGTGGTGGGATTCAGCCAGTTCGCACCCCTTCGGGAGAACCGGTTGTTAACTTTCTGAACAGTTTGGTGAACTGGTTGTTGGAAGAAATCATTAAGGCAGAGAACCGGTTGTTAAATTATTTGAATTCCACCACTGATCCGTACTGTTTCCTTAACATATGTTTTTACCTAAATTCTGATGTTTTTTCTATGTTCAGAGGTTTCTTTTTAAATGAAACAATTATATAATCCCCTGACTGTATTTTAAAATAGTACATATATTTTTCTTTGTTAGCTAATAGTTTTTGGAGTACAATAATTTGGACTAGGGATGTTGTTCAAAATTAAATGGATAGATGGCTACCCTGCTCTCTTCCTTTCATGCTGCAACCTCCCTCACTCTGCAGCTTCTCTTAGGCCAGGAAAAAGCAACCTCAAGAGCTTGAAACGCAGATAAATGTTTGAATAAATACATTTTCAATTTATTTATTCATGATATGAATTTGCTCTTTAAGCTTAGTGACTTTTATCATATATCCATGGTAGCCTATTTTTTTCCCCTATTCAAAAGCACTTAACACTGTTTTTGGTTGTCTCTTTGTTAAGACTGTTACCCTGGTGAGTTTCATAGAATTCCACTAGTATATTTTCAGTGGTGGCTTCTTAAAGGTGGGGAAAAAAGACATCAATGGATGCCTGCCAAGCTTTCTCCAACCACACAAATCTGTTTTTGTTGCCTCTGGAATCTCTCCTACCCCGTGGTGCCCTGGCCACTAAAAATCAACAATATGATATAAACATATTTTCAATGCTTTCTACGGCTTTAACTAAGTAAAAACTATTTAAACGTTCAAACAGCCTGGTTCATTAAACAGAGCTGAGGTGGCGCAGTGGTTAGAGTGCAGTACTGCAGGCTACTTCAGCTGACTG